TGCAGAGAAGGGCTGTGGGGGCAGCCACTAGGCTGGCCTTGGGTTTTGGGGGCGATGAGGGCGCCCCATTGCGGGCCCCATCACTCCGGAAGGTGCCGAGGGCGCTGCGAATGCAACTCTTGGGGCGCGCTCCTCTGAGCCCCGCAGCGCTAAGGAACTTCAGCCCTTCTCTCCGCCTTTGTGGTCTTCTGGTGGCGTTTCTAAACCGCTCGTCCATTTCCCGACTTCTTTTCATTTCTCTGCATCGAATTACCCTCTGCAGCCCACCCCCTATTGTCACGCCTTTCAGAGAGGCCGGGGTCCTCGCGGCGGAGATTCAGAAACCGGGGTCGCCGGGGCTTCCCCGCCCCCTATTCTCACGTCGGAAAACACGGGTCAAATTTCCGCTCACTTCAGAGCGGAATAAATCACAACCCCAGCAGAGCAGCTTTACACGCTAACAGGAAAAAAAAAAAAAAAAAAAAAAGACCTTCCCACCTGAGGCCGAACATCAGGGAAACCCTTTAGAGCCCCGGGCGATGGTTTTACGGCCCGGAAACCGGAGGAGCGGGCGGAGCTGAGCGCCCCGCACCCCAGACCCGGGCGCGGGCGGAGGTCCGAAGCCTGGGAGAGGGTCCGGCCAGGCGAGGAGAGGTGGGGAGAGAATGAATGAATGAACGAATGAATGAAGCTGGCGCTCCCCCTCCTGCCCCTGCCAGGAGAGGGGTGCGTTACCCAGAGGAAAGGGGAGCCCGCTCTTGCCTAGAATTTCATTGGACTTTCAAGAAATCTAGCTTTGGAGGTCGGGCTGCCCAGCCTAGAGGAATTGGGAAGCGGCTCCTGGAGAAAAGACCACCAGCGGAAAGTCGGGCACTCCGGGCAGCCGGTTAGAAAGATACACTCTTCTCACCTGGGGGCATCCGGTTGCTGCCCATAGATACAGAGTGAGCATAAGCGACCCTCCTACTGCGGGGGACCCACGGGCTCTTCGCAGAGGGAGCGCAGCCCCGCACTCACTGGGCTGGGGGCTGGCAGGTTCTCACCGGCTGTGGCTTTGTGGTTTGCGGGCGGTGTCACCTTGGGCCAGTTACGGAACTGCTCTGGGCCTCCTCGCACCCCTAAAACGGGCATGTCACTCTCAGAGGTAGGCCGTGGATGGCATGCGAGTGCAGGGACGCTGAGCACTGCTCATCCTCCCCCTCCCCCCACCCCACCCCCTTCCACAGGTGTTACCAAACCTGGCCTAATGAGTGGTCCACTGAGGAGCTTACACCTAGGAGCCCACAGAACCTGGGGGTTGATAGTTCCCCGTCACCCACCGCCTCGGGGAATGTAGAAAACTGTCTGGTATCTTTCCATACCTGGGAAATAGAGCATAGCATGCCCACCTCCATGAGACCTGAGTCAGATGACAAATAAAAGAGAGCCACGCAGAGGTAGGGCCTTGGGCAATGCAGGTTTTCTTTCTTCTGTCTCTAAGCTGGAGGCGGCCTGCAAGTGTGACTCTATCAGTCAGGGGCTGCCACTGGGGTGGGACATTTCCTGTCTGCCTTGTAGAGAGACAAGGAAGTTGGGGTTTGCTCTGCGGGAAGGATGCTCTCACACACAGTCTGGGCCACCAGCGCCACGATGTGCATCATGATCTACCCAAAGACCAGCCGCACCTTGGCAGGGTTTGCGTGGGAATTGAGAGGCAGACGTGTGGCTGCTGGAGTAGGCATCCCCCCTTATTTCTGGAAACATCCAGAGATGACCATTTGTGATGCATTAGGAGGCACAGTTAATTGGGGCCCACTGTGGGTTTCTTCACACAGCTCTTTCCATAGTCTGGCAAATTCTGGAGGGTCTCATTTAACAGGCCTAGTTCTCTTCGCCTAGATTGGAGATTCTGGGACAGGAGATGGATTTTCAGCCTCAGCTATGGGTCAAAGCCCTAAGGCCCCACCGTGATAACGCTACTAAAACCCGGATTTAAATCCAGAGTTACAGTAACCAAGAAAAACCCACCGTTTCCTTTCCTCGGTGCGTGAACAGGATCGAGTCTGTTCCTTCTGACTTCCAGATGTGCAATAGGATGGCTAATTGCTAACAGAGGCTACAGTATCAGTTTCCGTCCTCTCCGCTAGGAGCAAGAATATTCCCTCATCACAGTTTACACTCTAGAAGTTACCAGTAACAAGCTCTGAGACGTTGGGCTAACCAGTGGGAGTACTGAGCCGCCCACCTCCCACCCCTGAGCTGCCCGGAGTTTGGGAGACCCCTGTCCCAGCATCTGTCTATGTCCCTTTTTTTTGTTTGTTTTTGCCTTTTAGAGCCCGTCTACGTCCCTTTCCTGATTGTCGGCTCCATCTTCATCGCCTTCATCATCCTGGGCTCTTTAGTGGCCATCTATTGCTGCACCTGCTTGAGACCCAAGGAGCCCTCCCAGCAGCCAATCCGCTTCTCCCTCCGCAGCTACCAGACAGAGACCCTGCCCATGATCTTGACCTCCACGAACCTCAGAGCACCTTCCAGGCAGTCCAGCACAGCCACCAGCTCCAGCTCCACGGGCGGCTCCATCCGAAGGTTCTCCTTTGCCAGGGCAGAGCCAGGCTGCTTGGTGCCCTCACCACCTCCGCCGTACACCACAGGCCACCCCATCCACCTGACCCAGCCGTCTGGTTTCCTGGTGTCACCCCAATACTTTGCGTACCCGCTCCAGCAGGAGCCCCCACTGCCTGGGAAGACCTGTCCAGACTTCAGTTCCAGTTGACAGGCCCCGGCCATACATCCACCACGCGGTACCAGGGCAGGCGGGTGGCATGCTGCTGTCAATGCCACAGATATTTGCGAGGACACTTCCCTGGAACCCAGCGATGCCATGGAGGAGAGTGTTAGGAAAATACGATGCGTTCTAGTCTTCAGGGTCCTGGCTCCAGTCACAGCATGACTGTGTTAGATAACGGCTTTCTGGCTTTGAAAACATGGTGACCAGTACATTTCAATTTATGCTACTTTTATTCAAAAGATACAATAGTTCAAACTTTACAGTTGCCAGCGGGTTGAAGATGTTTTATTGGACAACTCAGCTGTACTGTTTAGAAAAAGTCTACATGTTCTTTTCTCATTATAAGTTGTTTAGTGGATTATAATACAAATATATGCATAAATAAGCAAAGGGCAATACCTGATTGTACTAGTAATTATTGAAGGTCCACCTAAAAGAATTTACTACTAAGTAAACTGAGGGGGCAGAGAACGACCTATTTATGATTTTGGGAGCGACCTAACCATGAATAATGTTAGCACATCAGAAACAGTTACTTTTTAAGTTAATAATTAAATTGTGTTTAAACTATAAGAGCTTTTTTCAGAATACAAGATTTTGATAACCACAGGAGGCGTTTAAAGTTTTCAGTATTTCCTCAGCTATTCATGGTAACACAGGATGTATGTGAACGCATTTCCCCCACCCACCTGAGGGAATATTTATTGCAGACTTTTTGTTCAGCAATATTTTCTGTTTAAGTGAAAGTTGGACAGTTGGGTCTTAAAACATTTATATGTAAAATGAGTTATGTACAAATGTAAAGATTTATAATTTAATGGATTTACCACATTGACGGTACTAATTATTTAGTAGTCACACTGTAATTTTTTATGTTAATATTAACTGTGGAGTTCAAAGTCCAGCTACTGGTTATAATCATCTAGTGTTACATATTGCAAACGTCACTGAGTTCCATGTCTGATGACTACGCATTTGGGCATGTATCCTGCTGGGTTAGAATAAATAACATACTTGTTTTCGTGAAATCTATTTGAAATTTTAGAGCAAAGCGCTTCATTTTATCTCTTTAATGATACTCTTTGCTATTCAATAAAAGGAAAATTTTTACTTAACGCTTCACATTTGAAATGCAAAGAAAAAAGATCTCTCATTGATTTTGAACTACATTAAAAAGCGATTTCCTGCACTGGGCTCATGACAGCAGTAAAGGAAGTGAGTTTTTCTCCAGTATCAGCTGGTGGGCTGCATGCCACCCTCAGACGTGTTGGGCTATTTCTCCTAAGAATCTGGATTTCTGGCTTCTTGTGACGCATAGAAGATGTGAACTGCCCTCGGCTCAGGCCGGCCCTTTTCAGACAGGACACTTGACATTTGCCAGCCTTCTGCTTGGTCCCCCCTACCTAGCCCATCTCCCTTAGTTCTGTTACCTGCCTGGCTCCTGTAGATGTTTGGGAATCCAAGCCTAAATGACTTCGTACTATCACAGGTCACCCTTAGCAGCTGTTTTCAAATACAGTTAGTTAGAGTAAAATTCGGACCCAAGAGTCTCTTGGGCCTACCTTTCTGAAATAAGTTTAAAGATACTGAGCCCTTGCCCAGTCTAATGGCCAAGGAGCCCTGCCTTCCAGTCTCCTGCTTTCTCCTGTATCTCAAATTAGCCCCCATAACGAAGGAACAAAAGAAAGAAAGGAAGAAGGGAAAGAAGGAAGGGGAATGGAGAAGAGGAGGGAGGGAGGGAGGAACAGAGAAAAGGCTGAGCATAAAAGGATGTGCATTTGAGAACATCCTCTGGAACACATTCTCGTGTCATTAGACTGGTTTTATTCATGTTCATTAAATATGGCTCTTTTTATATTTTTAAGTTAATCGTTACCTGGGCTCTTATGAGCTACACACTATTGTAAGTATTTATCTGCACTCACTTATTTTATCCTCCCAAAAAAGTCAACGGGGAGTTATTATAATTTCTATTTTACATTTGGAAACCGGCACAGAGAAGTGAAGTAACTTTCCCAAGATCCCACAGGTTATTTTTCCATTGATTTTCAGAGCGAGCAGAAGGGAAGGGGAGAGACAGAGAGAGAAACATCTGTGTGAGAGAGACACATCGATTAGTTGCCTCCTGCACGGGCCCGAGCAGGGCCAGGGATCGATCCTGCAACCAAGGTACGTGCCCTTGACCTTAATCAAACCCCAGACCCTGCAGTTCGTGGGCTGACACTCCATGCAGTGAGCCAAACCGGCTAGGGCTGCGTTGAGGTTTTGATGCTTCCACGCATGAAACCCACTGCAGAGCAGAGCACGAGGCCCAGCCTCATTCTCTAAGGCGGAGGTTGTCAACTCTGCTGGAGCCAGTGAGCTCTCCTTAGAACAATTATTTTGTGACATCCCTTGAACTGTCCTCATGTGAAATTCATAGATACCACTACTCATATTACACATATAATTGAAAAAATCAATACAATGCCCTAATGGTAAATAGAAAGAAGAAAGGAAAAGTAATTGATTTCAAAATATAATGGCTTGAGCAGACGAACCAAGGACTCAGATGCAAACCTCTTACACAAGATAACTGGCATGGAACATTTCCAAATCAGGACCAATGCAGGTTTGGTTTTTTTAAAAAATATGTTTTTACTGATTTTAGAGAGAGGAAGGGAGAGGGAGAGATAGAAACATTAATGATGAGAGAGAATCATTGATCAGCTGCCTCCTGCACACCCCCTATTGGGGATTGAGCCCACAACTCAGGCATGGGCTTTGACAGGGAGTTGAACTGTGACCTCTTTGTTCAAGGGTGGATGCTCAATCACTGAGCCCCACCGGCCAGGCCAGACTGATGCAGGTTTGCTAGACTGACAGCTCAAACACCACAGTTGTGCTGCTGCTGTTATGTGATTTTTCCCCAAACAAAGCAAAGTTGATATTCCTTTGATTTGCATAGTTGTTCTATATCTGGAAAATTCAGTGTATATTAAGGTAGTGCAAATATTACCTTATAGGGAAAACGGGATTAGGTTTTTCCACCAAAAGGAATGATGGGACATTCCAAAGTCATACCAAGGGACATTAAGTCTTTGATGTGTGGACTGTGCCATGTATTGCAGGATCTCTCCCATGAATGCCCATAGCACACCCGCCCCAGCCCCAAACATTAAGAAGAAAGATGCACCCAGACAATTTCACAATGTCCTCTAGGGGGCAGAACTGCCCCCACATAACCATCGGTTGTCAGGTTTCTCTAGTAGCTGTACTTTTATTTGCCATCCCTTTGGGGAGCAGTTTTTATCTCTTAGGCAGAATAATGCTGAAGAATGCTGAAAGCTCACATCTGCACACTTCCCTTCCTTAGCAGCATGCTCCCATCAGTCAAGTTCACTGGCTATAAATTGTTTAACATGAGGCCAGCATTGTGTACCTCACTGAAATACGGCATTCAGCGACACTGAATCAAATCATATCCCCACGTACTTGTTGACATCTAGTACATGTCTTTGCGCTTCTCTCTGGAAGCCAGGTAGCTGATAATATTATTATTCATATCCAAGGGTGAAAAGGCCATCCTGTGGCAGATTTGCAGGAATCATTCCATTCAACAAGCACATGTTGGACCCACTAATGGGTCAGGCACTGTGCTAGAGGATGGGAGTAACAAGGTGAATAACATGCAGTTCTTCTTCTTCTTCTTTAAAAAAAATATCTTTATTGATTTCAGAGATGAAGGGAGAGAAACATCAATGATGAGAAAGAATCATTGATTGGCTGCCTCCTACATGCCCCGCATTGGGGATTGAGTCTGCAACCTGGGCATGTGCCCTGATCAGGAATCGAGTCGTGACCTCCTGGTTGATAGGTCGACATTTAACCACTGAGCAACACTGGTCGGACTAACATACAGTTTTGATTCAAGGAGACACTTTTCCCATGGACTCAGGCATGACAGCAACTATATATGATGTTATGGGTACCTTATAAAAGAAGCACGTTATCTTTCCTGCTTTCCAAGAGCTCACAGCCACGTAGGAGAAGATGAACCCCTAATCCAACACTTAGAATTGCAACCAAAGGGCAAGTGCATACAGAGCACCCTGGAAGCCCAGTCAAAGGGCACCTCACTCATCCCGGAGGTGATGAGGCTGCACTGAGCAGGGAGCGATGAGTGGGAGCTGAGTGAAGAAGACTGGATGGCCAGGGGGAGAAGAGTCTGGAAATGAGGGGAAGAGCACATTCAGCAAAGCACAGAATTCACAGGGAGGCAGAGAAGCACCCACAGTGTGAAAGGACAAGGAGCATCCTGGAAGCTAGACAAAGAATTCCAAGAAGAGAGTGCGGAGAGACAAGCAGGATCAGACAAGAGATCTTGAAAACCATGGTGGTCGGATGTTTATCAAATACAAGAGGGAGCCCTGAAGGGTTTTAGGAGGGAGAGTCACTCGATGTCATCTTCATTTTGGAAAGATGAGACAGCCAAGCTAACATCCGGTCCCTTCAGACTCCCAGGAGGTGCTCACCGCAGCCCGCCACACTACAGGACACGGAGGGAACGGCTCTGACGCTTTGTTACCCTCCCAAAGAATCTGAGTCTACATTCTTTAGGACACCTACCTGGAAGGCCTAATTTTCTCAGGAAAATCTATTGGGGGAACAGTGGTTAACTGTGCACTATTGTACATGTCTTATAGAGAGAATGGTTTATAAGGGTCGGTAGTGTTTGTGCTACATTATGAGAACCCAGAATGATATAAAATACAGATAGAAATACTACATGACAAGTATCTCTTCCTTTACACATGAGAAACATAAAACCAGAAGGTGATTTAGCACGGATTTTAGGGTCACAGTGTCTGGGTTAGTTTTCTCGCTCTTATAAGCTGATTGACTTTGGGCCACTTCATTTCACTGTGTCTGGTTTTTTTTTTTTTTTTCATTTGTAAAATAGAAATATTAATGGTACCTTACTGTTTAGGGCTGTCATGAGAAATAGGAAGTTAGGGTCCTTGCCTCAAATCACTTGCATTCTAGTAGGGAGGGAGCTGTGTCGTTAAGTTAATGATAATTGATAGAAAGCAGATGAAATACCCTAAAATAAAAATGAAAGGTTAAGTACTGTGGGAGGGCAGGTGTAGCTGTTGATGGGAGTGCAGGGAACAGAGAACATGGTCCGATGGTTGGACAGAGTTAGTCCATGATAATCCATGGCCTCCTCTGATACCTGGCTCATGTACCGCTATGGCCTGGGACAGAGCACCTTCCTACCGTGTTGAGTACTAATGGCCTGCGAGTTTATGTTACCATCTGCACATCTGCATGCCCCCCCCCCCATGCCCCCTACACATTTAGTATAGTAGGTTTGCTTTAAAATGGTTATTTCCTTCTAAAGCCAGCAGATTGTAGTTTTCATTGTTCAAATGGAGAGACTGGTCCCTCTTATTTTCCCCGCCTCTCCACTCTTTATTGGTGTCATCATTAGCTCCTTCTCATGGTGAAGAATTTCCCAGATTGACCTAAGCCCATAGGAAATTTCCTGCCTAAAATGAGATAACCAAAAAAGGCTCCTGAAAATATACACAATCATACTTAGCAATGTGATCCATTTCATTGGTTCAGTTTACCTTTGTATAACCTAAAAAGTTTACTGAGTATGTGTTCAGAAAAAGTAAGAATTTATGGGCATCTTAAATTATCAAGGAACAAGTGTTAACGTTTTTTATGTGTACATGGCTACTTTAAAATTGCAATTAAATATTCGTTATTAATGAAGTTATCCTGACAGATTTGAATCGCTAGTTACATAGTTTAAACTTGAAATAACAAGTGAGTGTACCATAGCCATAAGAATACAAAAGCTTCTAAACGAGGATGGCTTACTGAATTTACAAGAATTCATGACAGGTAGCTTTTCTGTCTGCATGTTGTTTTGCTGTGGTTTTGCTTGGGGTAGCCACACCCAACTGTTGTCCCTGAGAACACTGTGGGAAAGGACTGGGGCCCTCACACGAATACAACCAGGGGCACCTCAGATTGCTTCCTCAGTGCCTGCGACTAAGCCTATGCCCTCAGGTAGCTCGAGTGCAGCTCGTTTCCGGTTAGCCAACCATGCCAATTTTTGATG